TCTGTGCTCTTCACAGCTTTTTCATTTGATCTCGTTTGCCCTTTCTTTTTGGCACAAAGCAGGAAGCTTTTTGTTGCTCTCTTTCTATTTCATCCTCACGGAGCTCTTGGAGATATTTTGCTCTTTCCATTACTGAAGTAAATGGCTTGTAAAAAAACAAATAATTCAAGCAGTATTGTTTTTTGAAGAAGGTTTATTTGGACTTTTTTAGCTTAACATAGTCACAGATGGTTTGGGTTGGGTTGAGGACTTGGCATTTGCAGGTGGTGAACAGTAAATATCTGCCACTTTCATTCTGAGGAGCCACAGGCCTGTCGCTCCTCCCACCGTGCTCACTGGTGGCCAGCCTCGGTCCCTTCTTCCCCACGTTTCACCCTAGGGCTACACGGTTCCCTACAATAGTCTTGTGTGACAAAAATGTGTGATGAATGTGTGTGACATGCCATGTGTGTATTGCGTGTTTGCATGTGGTTGTGTATGCTTTTGTGTATGACACAAGTGCAGGCCTTTCCTGCTACCAGATTGACGTGAGTGTCTGTGAGGCTTTGCTCTTTTCAGACATGCCTCACACTGGCAGTTGGAGTTTATGTGTGTGTGCGTTCGGCTGCCTGCCTTCTAGCGCCTCGAAAGAGACTGACGGCCTCTGACACCTGCCATTTGGACGCTTTTCTCTGTGAAAAATGTCATTGTCTTCAGAACCGACGTGTGTGTGTGTGTGTGTGTGTGTGTGTGTGTGTGTGTGTGTGTGTGTGTGTGTGTGCGCGAGAGAGAGAGGGAGAGAGAGAGAGTGCGATATGGCGCATCCCTCAATTTGTCTCCCTCAGGTCAAGCTTTGCAGCTGACTGAACAATGGAACGAAGCTGTTTGAGCAGCTGGGACAGAGAAACTTACTGTGTGTGTTTTTGTGTGTGTGTGTGTGTGTGTGCGTGTGCGTGCAAATTTATTTTTGGGTGACAACATCTGATGTTACAGCTCATTCTGAGGCAATAAAATGAGGCCAATCCAAGTATCCTGAACACAAACACAGTTGCTGGAATAGAAAACATGGTCCAGGTTAGACATATTTGGGCAACAAATTTTGCGTTCTCTTTTCCTTACCATATTTAAGTAAAGCAGTAAATAAGAAGGTTTCTACTTCAGCTTGACTGGGTATCATTAACACAGAGAGAAAGGTATTGGAGATCAGTACCCTTTGCTGCTTTCTTTTGCATATTAAGCAGCAGATTGCAGCCACCTACACTCGCATTCTATATGGGATCTCTTTTAAGCAAGTGAAATGCATGCAAAGTCTTGCTGAATTCAAGTGACTGACTTTTGGCAGTTATATCCCTCATCTTCATTCTAAAAAATATCTCTGCTTTGGATGTAGGTTTAGGTTAGTTGTCCAGCTGAATTACAAAATCGGTGATTTCAAAGGTATTAATCTTTGCAGCACACAGAATGCTTTTTTAAATTCATAATTTCTCCCACTGAAAAGGCTACATCCAGATAAACAGAATCAGTTTTGGGGGATTTATTCATCAGCATTTGGTCATATTATGTATTTTACACATATATATTGTATATATTCTTTACTAGGCATGTTTTATTTGATTTACTCTCTTAAGTGACTGCACCTGCTGGTAATTGACTGTGCGCGGACTGTTGGTGCTACAGCTCCTTTAAGTGTGAGAGGCAAAGCACTCCTGTCTACTGATTTTTGTTATTGATTCCTTTTATGAAAAAAGCATATAATTGGTATAAAACGTTCCAAAATTGGCAACAATTATGTGAACTGAAGCATCTCAAGTGTAAGGGTATTTCCAAATTAAAAAGAGAAATATCAGACTAGTGAAATATAAAACCATAGGGCCTAAACAACAAACATCTAAATAGACAGATATTCAGTTACAGCATCCCTTTCTTCAAGTTGTTGAGTTGGGGTTTTGTGGCTAATAACAGTTCTGTTTTCTTGAGGAGTAGCAGGATGCCAGTCATTGTGTGTGTGTGTGTGTGTGTGTGTGTGTGTGTGTGTGTGTGTGTGTGTGTGTGTGTGTGTGGACCATTGAGTTTGTGACTTTCCCCCAGGAAAGGGCATGGCTAAAGGCAAGTCTATATTTATGTTTGTGTACAATTAAGAGAGCAAATGAACATGCGAGTGAACGATATCCCTACAGGGGCAGAAATCATTGCTTCACACCAAGAGGCAACCACTGACTTTGTATACAAAAGAGAGAGAGAGAGAGTGTGTGTGTGTTATCTGTCCATTCATCCACCATCCAACCACAGATGACCTTCTGCTGGCTGCCAGGGCGATCCCCTCACTATGGCTGCAGTCATAGATGCTATGGCGATGAGGGCTCAGAGCTGTATCTATGACAGTGGTTACCCAGATGCCCCAGCAGCAGCCTTAATTAAGTCAGACGTGATAGGGGCTGGTGGCCTTGCTTTCTTCTCTCACCCTATTCTCAACTTTCATATGTCCTGTGTATGCTTCATTGTACCATCATTTTTTTTCACTCTGTCTAGAGCATCTCTCTCTCTCTTGTTGTAATTTTTCTTGAAAAACAAACGGTGTAGGTGCTACACCTCATTGACCTACCCACTCTGTTTTGGGGGCAGAGAGAGAGATCAGGGTTGGGAAATACACATTCATATGTATATAAATACATATATAATTATTTGGCCCTTTGCATTTGCTGTTGGAAAATTGAGATTTAGGTATAGTGAATGATTTTGTTTATATAAGCGAAATCTTAATCTGGTCTTAATCTGCATTACCTACCATGTAAATTTGTGTCTCTGCAAGCCTGCATGTTTCTGCGTGAGCCCATGTGTGTCAGGTTAATGACCAGCTTTGCTTTGACCTCCTTGAAGGTCATGTGCCATTGCTCGTTAGTAGTGTCACCATGGCGATATGTCAGCTGTCAGCGCGATGGATGGGAGGTTAACAAAAAGAACAGTGTAATGGAGAAAGGGCTGAATAAAGATATTGGGAAGGAGAAAGAAAAAGGGAGGGTGGACAGACAAGTTAATTTAAATGCGATTCTCATCAGACGGCCTCTGCCACTCCTCATTAATGAGATACTTATAATTGGCAAGATTGTTGTAGCAAGGTCTAGGCCTCTGGGATAGTATATGTGCACGCATGTGTGTTTGTGTGTGTGAGCGCACTATGGAAGACCTTAGTTTTGGACATAGGGGAGGGGACGACCCTCTTGTCATATTGGTTAGCCCTGAGGGAACTCCCCCTTCTTTCTTTCTCCAAGTCCCCTTCAAGAGAATAGGACGACTAAACAATTTGGCAGTTTCATTTGTGTGTCACCAACATTAACATGGGTATCAGTGGCTTTGTTGTACCACCATCTTGCAAGTGTGGTGATGGATGATAAGCAGCCTACTTTAGACTGAATGCATTAACAGGGAAATTGTATAATTCGTAGCATGTTAACCTTATATTGCCAGGAATTTAATTATAAGATATATATGAAATATAACAATGCTGGAATTGTCAAAGACCTTGACTTCAGTTGAGTCGTTAAAAGTTTATTTAATGGTTAATTATGTGAAGTATTAAGGCAGACTGTTGGTTTTATTTTCTAACTTTATGCATAATTCTAACGATTTTCTTTCTGCAGCAACATGTAAATGGATTTTTTTAATGTTACTTAAATTTATAGATAACTGGGCAGAAAGAAGAATTATATTACTTAGGACTTAGTTGAAACTTGGTATGTCTGACATCATGTCTCAGTCCTGACATGGCTTTGGAAAATGTGAATGAATGCAGCATTTTGAACTTTTAATTGTATTTTGATTGCATTAACAGCTTTTCCTTTTGTTCCCTAGTGATATAGACCTACCCCTTTGACACTTATAATGCACCAAAGTATTTAAGTAATAGATAAACTAATAAAACTAATAAACTAATAAATTACTAATATGTTTGTCACTTTCTGTTATATAAATTTCACATTTTGTTGTGAATGAACAAAAACTTTTCGATTTATAAATAAAGGACAGTCTGTAAAATTATTTATTTTTCTGTAATTTCACACATTTATCACGTAGAAAAATGAAGCGTGCTGTTGAAATTGCACTTCTTTTTGTTATGTTGAGACATCTCAGGGATTAAATGTTTAGTTATGTTTCTTTACACTGACAGAAAGAGAAGTAGCATTTCTATGCCTCACTTAAGATTAAAATAGGCTGTGTGTAGCTCACGAGGTTAAGTGAGTTTGACATCCCTTGTCTATAGTAATACTCTATAGAGGCTGGCAAACAGTGCACCAAAACTACCACTAGATGGCAGAAGTGCCACACGATTTGCTGTAAAGAGGTTCGGTATCTTACTACTGAGTCACACTTTCTTTTGTGAGAGTTCAGTGTGGAAAAGTGACCGTACTCTGAATCATATATGCAGAAAAATGTATGGCTGTGAATTTATAGTTGCCTAAAGTGCATACCATACAGTGGGCAAATTGACTCAATCACCCAACTGACTCGCTAACTTCTGAACATGTTAAGTATTCATAGGTACATGAGGCAGTGACTCATACATGTATTTGGAGTGCAAGTTGTTTTTTTACACCTGCTGCCAAGTGTCAGAATACTTAAAGGCATTTGAAAGACTGTAACTGAGATCTTAATGTTAAGGGTGCAGGACTACTAGTCATGATGCTATTTTGGCTTGTCATGGCTACAAAGGGGGTAACTAGAGTCAAATAAAGTAACTGTTTTAAGGACTTTTCAAGTACATTATTAAAGATGTAAGTCATGTTTAATTATGATGATGTCTCTCAAGTAGTAATAGCTGTTTTAATTAGTTTCCTCCTCCCTCTCCTTAACTCACAATTTTCTCCCTATGCAAACCCATCTTTCTCACCTCTTTTTCACCTTCCCCCCGCTGTCGAACCTGTATGTTTTCCCTTTTTCCTTTGTACATCTCTGCCAGTATCTTCCCAAAGACATCCTTTACTTTTCTAACTCTTACTTTTCTTTCTTTCCCATATCTTCCCTAGTATAACCAATGAGGCAGGAGCATCCATCTACAGTGTGAGTCCCGAGGCAGTCCAAGAGATGCCAGACCTGGACCCTAACCTTAGGAGTGCAGGTACACCAAGCTGCAAAGCTTGATTGTTGTCAAGTAGCAAGTAGATTTTTCCTGGTTTAATGTGTTGTTTTTGTGGATAGCAATATGAATAAGGTTGGAAATTTGGTAGTCAGGAACAGCTGTATGTCCACTGGTTTCAGCTTCAATTTTATTTTCCACCTTTTTTTTGTTTTGTTTTTTTTGCATAATGCTTTCATACATCAGTGAATTTCTGGCATTGCTTTTTGGTTCTCCTCTGTCGCCCTAACTTTGCTTTACCTCTCTGCCTCCCTTGCCAATTCTTCCTAACTCTCTGCACATACTACGTCATTGAAAACACAGTAGAATATAAAGGAATCACACTGAGTTTTGGAGAATAAATGTTTCCAGCAGACTTCCTCTATAAAAACCATAAATCAGCCAAGGCTGGATTATTCCTCACTAGTATCCTGTGGTCAGCAGCACAGAGCACTTGCAGAGAGCCATATTTATACCCATAACGAAAACCTCAAGAAATCTACTGAATTTATATTTGGATGCTAAGCCTCGACACCATGAATAACAGTGTGTGTCTGTTTTGCCTTTCGGGGGTATCTTTGCTATTGCCTTAGTCTAAATGAATGGCTGTGTAACACTGTATGCAGGGGGGTGTTTTGACTTATTACACTGATTATTGTGAGATTAGGGACACCTAGTGGAAATAGGTAATATTTTACCCATTTCCAGGGATTACTGTTTTTGTTCCACTTATTTCTGCTCCTCCCGTCTCCCCTCTGATCAGAGGACTGCTGTTACTAACTGGTTTTCAGTCACTCATTGCAGACATGCTGCATCTCTTTAAAAGTTGGCCTGTTGTAATCAAGTTTTTTCAGCTCATGATCTGATTGAGAGTAATGATGTTTGAGAGGAGTGCGAGCAGTTCATTTTCTTTCTCAGTTCATGCTCTGCAACAAAAACTGTGCAGCCACATCATCAGTGTCTCACCAGAAGGCTGGATGTCTCCGTTTTCTCCTGAGTAATGTGTCTGGCCAGGGCCTTCGTCAGTTGTTGTGCTCTTCATTGCTTCCCATTTTTGTAGTACTGTATTTGGCTCATAAACTTTCAATAAGTGCTGGAGAGTTCTGCTGGACTCCATTTACAAATAACCTCCCTTCAGAGGGGGGGTGGGGGTTAGAGACGGAATAAATGGAAAGAGTATAGGAGAGTTTTGGTGTTGTACTGAGCAAGGCTAGGGTTGAAACTCCATCCCTGTCTAAATATTATCTCAGGCAGCAGGCTCCTGCCGCAGCCAGAGGAGAGAGAGGAGGACCATTGATTCCAGACATACTCCCTCTCTTACATCCTATTCTTCCCTTTGTCTGCCTTTTCCACCTCAAAGATCAGAATCTGATGCATCCCATGCAGCATACTACATACACAAAACGGTGGATAGGGCAGGAAAGGAAGGACAAATGAAGGGACAAACTGTTCCCTGAAATTGATCAATGGATGAGCAAATCGTTGGTCATAATTGTGTTGTGATGCCAAAGTTTGGGGAGTATAGCAGTTTTTTTAAGTTCTATTTTTTAAGGAAACTCAAACTACTAAAAATATTTATGTATATATTGCTTTTTCTCTTTTTAAAAATTATATAAATGGAAAAGACATAACAGTGTACGGTAACGCCCAGAGCTGGCATCCCCTTTGTCTTGCCCATGGTTATGTAAGTACACAATTGATTGGTTGTGTTATTCTTCTCCGCTTGGTGTGTGCTCGTGGGGAAATGCCGTGTGTATGTGAATAAGATTATTGTAATTTTTCTCTTTGTCATTTAGAAAATCAGAAAAGACGTGTGATCTAAACCTTAAAGACTCTGTCATAAAACAAACCCAACGTTGGTTGAGGAGTATTGTGTATTTGTTTGTGTGCTACGTTTGACTGTTTTTGCCTGAGGGCACAGAAGTGGATAAATTGGTGTTTTTAAAGGTTCATGGCTCAAACATCTATCAGCAAGCTAAATGACAGGTGCAGCAACTCCAGCTGAATGCCAGCTTTAATTATTATTAGTGGGGGTGGAGGAATGACAATTAGGTTTGGCCTGCCCTCAGGCCAACACAGTAATATGCAGACAATTAGCATATCGAGTAATTACGCATACTACTATGGATTTGCATATTCAATAACTGTGAGTCAAATACCAAGTTTATGAAAAACACAAACCACGGATTCCCATGAGACGTAGAGGTATCTCATGTGTGTGTGTGTGTGTCTGTGTGTGTGTGATGGCAGTGTCGATTGGAAGACGTGTCCAAGATCCGCTGGCTGAGCTTGTGAAGATTGATCCCAAACACATAGGCATTGGAACATATCAGGTAAGTTAGCTTTTAGCTTTTCGATTGTCTGCTTTTGTCAATGAAGACAAATATTCCAGGTGTACAATAAGGCACTTATGTTTATTTTGATTTTAATGTTTCGTATTTACTTTAGTTATCAAAGATGGTCTTTTTAGGAGAGTCCAGATCAAATATTTCATACCAACAATAATGTAATCATGCATTTGCATTTCTATCCTTTCATCCTCCAAAGCACAAGTTGCTTTTTACTAGAGTTTAGGTGCGACATTTATCTTTTAGGCAAAACCAAGAGAGCAGAAACGTAACTGAGTCCTAAAAAGAAAAAGCGATGAGAGGGATGAGGAAAAAAGGCAAAACAGGCAAGCAGGGACAAAGAAGATAAACTTGGCTGAGAGCTGTGTCAACAGATGATGCTAAGGATGACTAATTCAATTAATGGAGATCAGGCATGACGTATGTTTGGACATTTGCTTTTGCTTGTTTAATTGCCGTTCTCTGTCCGTTTGTGTGCACTGCCAACTCTTTTATACTCTTTCCAGTGTCTGTGTGTGTGTGTGTGTGTGTGTGTGTGTGTGTGTGTATGAAGCAGGAGTTGGCTCAGTGTTGGTTTTCTGCATTGCGAGTGGGTATGTAATTGTGCGAGAAAGGCAATCTGAGCATTATGTCAGTGAGCTTACTGTTAGCATCAGCTATGAATGCAGTATTGTTCTCCATGTGGTCTTGGAAGAAAAGGCTATGAGGAGATGGAAATAAGTAGAAAACGGAAAAGAATGAGGATGACACAGGCAAATACAATAAGGTCACAATAAACGACTGTCAGCTGTACATGATGGATCCAGTATTAGATGCTATGTACCACAAAAAAAAGTAATAATAAAGTTATTTTTAAGGCTTTATTGGATATAGTTAAAGCAGGTAGAAGAGAGGGTGTAAACTGCAGAACATGTAGTGCTTTTTTGCAGCAGTTGTTTTTCAGTTATATTGTTAAATTGGTAGAATTCCTGTTCCTGATAAAGATGTGAGGACCATTTAATTATTGGGCAGTGATGAGAGAGAAGAGCTGATGTACTGTAAGGCTGAGTGAGTTTTCAGGTCTAGTGTTAAATTGGTGGAATTCCTCTTTGTAATAGAAATGTGAAGCCCATTTAATCACTGGGAAATGATGAGAGAGAAGAATTGATGCACCGTAGGACTGACTTTATTTTGATTAACTTTTAATTTAATTTAATTTTAATTGCTAAAAAAGCAGATATTTTTGTCATTGATGAAAAAGAATTTTTGCTTTTGGCTTAGTAAAAAGGAGACTGAAGTTGTTATCAGTTGGTTTTTCATTCATCAACTAACAGATGAGGTGCTGTTTATCTGCTGAGAGGAGGTTTCTGCTCACTAAGTCAGTATTGTACAGGGTAAATTGTAACTAAGTAATACACTGATATCTTTTATCAAGGTTATTTCAAGAGCTGTCATTCAAGGAGCGTAAGAAGCATTTTCATGTGTTGCTTTGGGTAATATTTCAGTGTTAAGAAAAAGAATTCACCAGTGGAAGAAGAGAAGGAAGGGAGGGGGGTTAAAAAGAACAGCAGAGGGTGACAAAAGTCAAAGTAAAGGAATGATGGGAAAAATTTAACATTTGAAAGTAAAAGGAGGAGGTCATATTGTTCAAATGATTGTGTGCATGGCTGTGTGTGTTAGGTCACAGGCCCGTGTCTCTCATCACGTCCTGATCTTGACTCTCTAGGGTGCTCAGGGTTCTGCACCTCCCGCTCTCAGATCATGTGACTAGGTCAACAAATGCTAATCTTACCGAGTAAATAAACTCTGGGTGCTGACAGATATGAGATGGGACATCATCTTGACCTGTGTATGAGCTCACGCAAAGCATACACACTTTCTTCCCATCCTTTTTCAGAGTCAGTATGTAATGTGTGTGCATACATTTGCATTGGTGTATACGTGAATGTATATGTGTGAGAATAGGGCAGTCATGCATGCGTTTGTTTTCTAGCAAGTTCTTTTATATGGCCTTTTGAGCTTTCGGAAAGTTTATTGCCATTAGACCCAAAAAGCATAAGGGTAGATGTAACTCTAGACAGCTGGCACAGCATGCGCTCTCTTTCTCTCTCCCTGCTGACCCAGTGAGTGACAGCTCTGAGGGAAAGACGGAAATGAGCTGAGGGCTAAAGAAGTGAGGCCCATTAAAATCAGATTGGACGCAAGTATTGGGGTGGGAACGCTGTTTTCACTGTGGATCCGCTGGCTGACAGTTTTCCTTTTTTTTTTTTTTTGAATGCTGAAAAGCCAGAAACATGTCAGAATGAGGAGCCAGTGTCATTAGCTTTAACAGGACACTGACATTTAAAAGACTACTTACACATCGGCACAATACAGAAAACTAAGTGTGTAAACATTGCTGGAGTCTTCTGTTCTTTAATAATTAGACACTAACTTTCCTTTGAACCAGACCTCCACCTGTCAGTCACCTTTATGTAGCTATGGTCTGTTGACAGCTGGGAAATCCCCAGGGATGTGAAATGAACTACTGGAAAATACACACACACAGACGCACACTGCTGTGTAAGAAAACATTACCCGCCAGCCGGATATTAAAGAAACTGTCATTCTTCCCCTCACCTTTGTTGATTGTTTTTCTCTTCCAATTCTAACTTTTTGTAAAACTCTTCACACACCTGAACTAATGCCCTTCATCTGCCTTCCTTTAATTTCATGTTTTCTTTCAAATACTACAACGTGTTAGGAGTGGGTAATACAACCTCAAAATTATAGTGCAATATTTCAAGGAAATCTGAGATAATGATATTTATAAGGATGTAGAAAAAAAAACTGATCGCAGCTTCTAAGCAGCATTTATAAGTGTGAACAAATTCAAGGGCATTTTTTGTACGTCTTTTCTATTGAGCCACTGTCATTGATGCCATCGAAAGTGTGAATCTGTTGCCACAAGGTGCCGCCAGCAGCATTATAGTGCAATACTAGTGACACAGCATTGTATACAGTGACACAGCACAAGTCAAATGTAAGCACAAAAGTAACCTAGGAAGTGTTTTCCCTGGAAATTTTAACAGTAACGTAACTGTTTAATACTTTTGTGCAGCAGTAAGTAAAGTAACTTAATCCTGTACCTCTTCATGAGCCTGCACAATACTGTCACATATTAAAACTGAAACTGAAAACCCCTTGTGAAGAAAGTGTCTATGACTCCTTTGGCATGTTTTTCACCCTTGAATGGTAGTGCCTATGGGGCAGACAGGAGCAGGCAGAGCACAGGGAAAGAAGAAGAATAAAAAATGAAGGCTTGACAGTGATTGATAGTTCCTGCCTAGTCGCTTTGGAGCGTGGGAAAAAAAAAGCAAGCTCTTTAAGACTTGGCAGAAGGTGCCAAAAACATTAGGAGATACTATTTTAATGATTTCCTTTAGATTTGTTCAAGCATGTTTTTGAGTGTTTGTGCATTTAAGCAGGGTGTTAAATGAATAAACCTTGCATCTTTGTTTGTATAATGGATTTACAGAGGCTTGTGCCAAATATCTTCTTATTCTGCAATAAATAATACATATCTGGCTGCCAGGCTACTTATTTTAAGGTTGTACAATTTACTTTCCCTTGTTTAAATTTCTTGGTAAGTGCTTTCTAATTGCTACCTTTTTATATCAAAATTAGTTTATATAGTAGGATATTCAAGGGAAAAAAGCACACAAACCTCATAGTTAACAAGAGCAAACAGCAGAATTGTCAAATAAGAAATAAACTATTTAAAAGAGAGGAGGAAAGGTGCATTTTTTTGGTTCTTAAAATGATGATTTAAATCAACTGTGTCCTTAATTTTTCATCTATATTAAACAAAATGCAAACATTGCCTCTAATCTTTTTGTTAATGGAACATTTGAATAGAGTATTTTGTCCAAATTCTCAAACATGATATTTTCCAAGTGAAAACCTAAATAGATGAGACTTCCTGTGCCTCTCTTGAAGCGCTTTCTGTTCTAGTTTTCTCATGTTCTGTTTTGCACTCCCTTGGGTAATGTGTGACCGTGCATGTGTTTGTGCACACGAGTATGTGCTTGGTTAGGTCGTTAAATGCCAGTCATTCATCAGCACCCGAAAGTGATATGATGGCAAGGACATGTTTTTATGATTTTCTATCACCTTTCACAAAGACCTGATAGCTATTACTTAACTTCCTGAGCTTCCATAATGATCACTCTTGTGTGTGCATGCACACTCCCACGCTTTAACTACTTTAACTGTATGCACTACTTGCCTAACCTGTAACCTAACCTTAAAATTCATCTTAAAAATGGTTATTAAAATTTATTTTTATATTGAAGACTTGCTTTTTGTCCCTTCAAGAAAGACAAGTTTGATAATATGCCTGTAGAGAAGAGTCACTGATTAGTCTGCATATTGTCTTAGACTTTCATAAAGTAATTGTTGTGACCACATTTAGGGGCCTAAAACATTAGTAATGCCTGCATCCACAAACACAAGCATACTCAGCCAAGGCTCCATATGTAGAATACATATACAGGTCTCAGAGGCCTTAAAAAGTGCTGTCAGTCAAGATCATGACCTTCAAATAGCCTTGTTTATTTGTACATAGTTCACTTATTATGTGAAACTGAATGACTTCACTCAGCAGTTTCACTCCATTGTCTATCTGTCTGTCTTCAAAATTGGTTTTCCCAACTTCACTTTGGTGCCAAGTACATTGTGGATTGTTGACAACTGGGAGGAGATCTGTGAAGGGGTGGGGGTTGAGTTTGGTGATGCAGAATTTGGAATCATGGCTGCTGCTGAGGCAGCATACCTTAGTTGTTGCTCTGGTTGATTTAAATAAACAGTTTTAACTAATCAACCTCAGGTAGATGTGACAACATTCACTGACTTGTGGCTTCCCACATTACAAGAATTAATACATGAGTATAAGCCTTTGTGTCTCAGTTTGAATACAACACTTGGAACCCAACAGACATTTGATCTTAATTATTGAGTTCCTGTTTCTCTTTATTCTTTATTCTTCTACCTTATTATTCTAGTTGCTCAGACCTTTTTGCCTATTTGCACTACTCTGCCTGGTTTACACTCAATGTCATTTACCCTTACCTGAATACTGTATATTGTATATTGTATAGCTTTCTTGTTAATTTGTATTGTATTTATTTAAATTTTTACTTTTTAATTATTTTATTTGCATTTTTTAATCACTCTCTTATATTTAAATGTTCATTGCTATTTCATCTAGGGTTTGAGGGTAACGAAATTTCTATTCTCTGTATGTCCTGTACATGTGGCAGAATTGACAAATAAAGTTGACTTTGACTTTGACTTTGCTGGTTAACTACTCCCTCTGTTCCGCTCCTGCTAATTCCTGCTATATCTTTTGGTCCTCACAACTTTTATACTTTTTGAGATATTAAGCTTTTTATGCCATTTTTTGGCCCATTTTGCTGAATGGGACCACATTGCGAGTGTGATCACTGGTTTTGCTTGCCTGGCTGAGCCATGTTTTAGCTCAGTGAGATGAGCAGCCGTTCTCAGAGCAGGAGGGCTGGGATCGAATCCCGCTTATGGCAACATTTTTTTCAGTTAACAGTTCAACTTTTTTTTCACTCTTTTCAACACAAATTTGAGCTTCTTCACCACTTTTCAGCAGAATTTTCATTCTCTTTTGCTCTTTTTAGCAGAATTTTCAGTCTGTTCTGCTCTTTTCAGTAGAATTTTAGGTTTTTCACCTCTTTTGAGCACAAATTTCAGTTTCTTCTGCTCTTTTTAGCAGAATTTTCAGCCTCTTCTGCTCTTTTCAGCACAATTTTCAGGTTCTTTGTCTCTTTTTGCTGAACATTCAGCTTCTTCACCTCTTTTCAGCACAATTCAGCTTCTTCTGCACAGTGGACATTTTGCCTCTCATCATATTTCTGGTTGAGACCGAAAGTGGTTTGGCTCAGTGGGATGATCAGCTGCCGTGAGATATGGTGGCGAAGATTCAAATCCTGCCTGTGGCGGTTGCCGCACATGTTCCCCTGCTTGCATGCACTCTTTCTTGACACTCTTCACTGTACCCTTTCAAATACAGCCATTTTCAGCAAGCACTTCAGCTTCTACAACTCTCTTCAGCTGATAGTTTTGCTTCTTCTGCTGTTTTCAGCAGATTCCACTACACAGCATTCACACTGCATTTCCGCAGAAAATGCAACTTTTTCTAGTCTCATAGTTAACCTTCTGTCATTTACATCCCTCAGGCTCTTCTTCTTTCATATAAACGATCAGCCTGCTGTCCAAAGACATTCATTCATTACTGTCAGTCCCCTTTCCCTCTCTGGTTTACTCACCTTCTGGTTCACTGCAATTTTATAAATGTCGAAATGACAAGGTATTCTAGGTTTTATCAGTAAAGTACCTCTCTAAAAAACCCTTTTTGTTTTGTCTCTTTTGTAGTTTTCATCACTGTGCTTCTCTCACTGTCTCTGATTGACATGTGGTAACTCAACAGTGTTTAAGTACTTGAGGTGCAGAAAGAAGCACTTTGTTCCTTTGTATTGGTTGGCTGGCTTTGGCTGGTTTCCGACCAATCCAAACATAACCTTCTCACATAGGGATCCACTCCATTGGTTCTGTATGAATTTGAGGTTTGGGTGCTGGGAGTTGGGACGAAGGAATGAGGGAGTGGAGGTGATTTTCAAAGAGATAGTAGCATATATAGCTTTGTCTGGCAAACCACCTCTATGCTTCCACATCACCTTACAGCTCTAATCTAAATACTATGAAGAACATTTAGCAATGATCTAGATGGCTCAGATGGAAAATCTGCATTAAGTTGCGTATGTGATTTCTAATGTTCTTTAGTTAGTGTGTACCTCGAGGTGAGTTGAATATAAAATGAAAATAGAAGAACACTAGGTCAGTGCATCCCTCTAAAGCTAGAATTTGCAGCTTAAAAATAGTGATCGTGCCATTTTATTTGACTCGTCTGTTGCATAATCAGATAGAAAACATACCTCACAAAGTGTGACACGTGGATCGATAGATAAAAAGATACAGCATGACATGCTTCACTGGTGCTGTTAGCGCCACTGTAAACTGTGACGCAGAGCCATGCGGGCCTCTGCTGCCTGGGTGTTGAAGCGGAAACACACGGACTGGATTGTGGATGTTTAATAGAGCAGAACTCTTTCACTCCAGCTCTGAAATCACAGTTGTTTAGTACAGTTGTTTTTCTTCACCTGTATTTTCTCGTTAGTTTCTTCCTTACGACATATTTGCATATCCTTTTCTGTGTAGCAGTCCCTTATTTGTTATGCAAATATCTATTATTATTGAGCAGTGTCACAATGTTTCAAGTGTAAATGTGATTATTATGATTATTGTTTACTTTTGGGAAGTTACTATAAATGCTTATTAAGCTACATTTTTAGTGTTCCCATCCCTAACCAAGCAGCACCTAAAGTGTTCTAGTGTTTCTCACGCCTGTATAAGGTTTCAGCAAGAATCTAAGAACACATTCAGTGGATTTTTCCTGCAGGTTAAAACTCACACTACCTTACGCACCTCCAACTTTCTCACGTGAGAAAATTCTTTTCTGGTATGACAGGTGATTTCCTCCTCCTTGTCTTCTCTTTCTCATGTGAGCTTCTGCTTCTAGAGCCACTCAGCAGAAATCATAAATCATTCGTAGTTTTATTTGTTCCTGTTCGGAATTTTTTTTAAATTATTGTCTCCAAAAGGCCTCTGGTTATACTTACAAAGAACAGATTGTAGATGCTGTTTTTCTCCAGAACTACTTTGTCTTTTAGCTGTAAGTCATCCTCTGTCTGCTGAGCAAAGCTACATCTGTTGTAGGCTAAGTGCTAACTTAAGATAACAAGATAGAAATATTTTTGTAACTATATAGCATAAAAATGTGTGATAAGTATTGGAGGTTCTGTGCTGAAATTACATATTGTAGTTCACAACGGCCAAGCAAAAACTTTGGAGCCCCATGTGTTCTCTGTCTACCGCGCTCTCCCTCCTCTATCCTCATCTGTCCTCCTATCCTGTTATTGCTGACAGAGGGTGTGTTTGCTAGCTGCTCTTGTTGTTATCTGTTTACAAGTCAGTGTTTGTTAAAAGCTTGATCATGTTACAGGACAGCACATGCTAGTCTCAGTCATGTTCATGCACATGACAGACATACACATGCACACAAACACATTCAAAGACCAACAGTAGTCTAGTTTAGAGTGTCAGCTAATCCTCAAGCAGTTGCTGAGACATCAGCCTGTAGCTGAACTCCTGGATTTTAACCACAACACAGGGCTTCGTGTTTCTCACTGCCAGACCTTATATTTCTTTAAGATTATTTGGTTGTGTACTTAAGTAGTTTGTTGACAATAATTTTCTTTCCTTTCCTTTCTTGCTGTCAACCTTTCTTATTTAAAAAACAAACAAACAGGCTCCACTGCTTTTGAAAAATATCTCCTGTTTAATGTTTGATTGGCTGGTCGATGAGAAATGTGAAAGTTTCATTTGGAGGTACTTTTATAGACTGAGAGCTACAATGACAAGAACACTGTATTACTGGGAAAAATCACAGAAAGGCCTAACGAAGCATTTTCCTTTCACTTCTGTACTTCTCCTGTCAATCAGTTTTCTCACTCCCTTTTTTGTTTAAAATTTGCCTCATATTTGCTGTATTGCTGTCAGCACAAGATCAAGTAGCAGTATGTGGTGAAAATGGAATATAATATATGGGAATTAACCTGAACACGCTCAAGTGAAGTCTGTTAAAATCTTCCATTAAAATATTTTGATAAACAGATTTGGATGGGAAAAAAGAAAGCACAGCTACATGCAGCTGTGTTAGTTTTTAGTGTTCATCTGTCCCAAAGAGGTTTGAAAAATCCTAAGAATTCCTGTATTTGCTGTCACACACAGATAAAAGCAGTGATTTAAAGTTGTTTTCTTTGCTTAACCAGTTTTTGCCATGTGTCTTTCTGTCTCTGTGTGTGTCTGTACTTTAAAAATTCCCTGGTTTTGTCAATATGTTTCTTTTTTCTCTTAGCATGACGTGTCAGCTGGAGCTTTGAAGACAGCATTGGATGGCGTGGTGCAGGAGTGTGTGAGCTTTGTTGGTGTGGACATTAACATCTGCTCTGAGATACTGATGAGGTAGAGTACCCAAAATGACATATCGCATAATTTCTAAAAATCAATTCAGTTTTATTTATATAGCAACAAACCACAACAGCACTTACCTCAAGGTGCTTTAAATTGTAAGGTAGAGACGCTCCAATAACACAGAGAGAACCCCAATAATCAAACAACAAGTATGCACTTGGCAACAGCCTGCTTTAGCCCGCCTTAACCTTAAATTGAAGGAAGAATTTCAGAGTAGTCCTCCTTGATTATTCCATATACTGTGCAATATACCATTACCACAAGCAGTAAAACAGCCTGAGCTCATGATGCTGTCACCACCATGCTTAACAGCTGGTACAAAGGTGTTAATTTTGGAGCAGGGCTTCTTTCTTGGTCAGGATCATCTTGTGAAGTTAGGACATTGTAGAAAAAAATGTAAGTGAATGTATGTACACATTTGAACCTGTATGTATGCTTTTGAGCCTGTGTTGATTAAAGAAAATCCAAATTAAATTCAAACTTCTGCACCCAATTTGTAGTGGAAACAAAAGTTGTAGTATGATGTGATTTGATATGATTTGATTGAGAAGTCACTAGCCAATAATCTTGCAGTGCTCCTCAGTTTCACCGTGTACAGTTTCTAAACACTAAAATGGGAATTATACTCAGCTTAGACTGAATTGTGGGACTCACATTGCCTGTGTCCGTCTTTTACAGACAGTTTATGTTTGCAAGATTCTTTGCCTATGTTGTCACAGAAGAGGGTTCTTACTGAGCGTGGCTGTAGACTCAGACTAGAGATGCATTAAAATAGCTCGTTTGGGACCAGTGAGCTGTCTTGCTAATGTTAGATGATAATTAAGAATCAAAACATCAAACATACCTAAAAACATTTAATACATGTCCTCACAAGCAAGTGCATGTTTGCACTCAACCACTGTGTGCTGCACAAATACATGCAGACAGAGACAAAATTCTGAAAACGAGATGAAGACGGACTCAGACCTCTGGCATACTTTCCCTTTGCAGTCACAACATGGCAAGGCTTCATTCACACTCATGCACAGGCCATTGCATGATCTACACACACAAAAACACAGATGGCCTGCCAGTTTTCTGTTTAGACTAATGCTTCACACCTTGGCCCACTTACTGGGCTGACTGGTATTAACAAAGAGGATTAGGAACAGTGGACACAATTAAACTCACAGAAACATACATGCTGAAGAAGAAACATGCAAGAACACCGTGCACACGTGTGCTTATTTGTTACAACTTGTGCAGTATAAACATGAGTCAAAAGTAGGAAGTGCAGAAATTTCATATGCACACTTTTTGCAGTGGAGACAAACAGTATGAATTGAGCTGGCATTAGCTGCAAGGCAGGCATCAGGTCATCTGTTTACCTGTCTGCTCTGCAAGTGAGCGTTTTCCATTCCTCCACAAAGTTAAGCTATGCACAAACGCACATGAAACACACACAGACGTGTTGATGACTGAGGTATTATGCCGAGTGTTGACATAGCCACATGCTTTAGCATGAGTGAGTCACTGTGGGCATTAACAGAGCAGACCTAATTGAGTTTCAAATCACCTCTCGTCTTTGCTCAGCCTGAACTGGACAAATATACATGCTTAATATTGGCTTATGTGTGTCACTTGTGTTTCCAGTGCTTGCTTAAATGCCAGGTCACGGTTGCAGAATCTGCTGTTTGTTTGGTGTGGGTGTGTGTGTCTAAGCCTAATACTGTAGAGTTATTATAGGTGATCCCATAGGTATACAACCTATATGGATATCAACCAAGCTTGAGATCCTACTTATTTAATTACCTGTTCTGTTTTGTTGTTTTAGCATCTAGTGTAGAATAATTTTAAGAAGTTGTTTGAATATATTGTGAGATGAGTAATTTTTCTCCCTTCAATCTGTTGTTTTATCTCCTAGGCATGTAGCAGGCTTAAATGCGGGAAGGGCACGGAGTATCACAGAATGGAGAGAGCAGCACGGTCCCTTCATCAACAGGGAGCAGCTGAAGCTGGTCAAAGGCATGGGGCCCAAGTCCTACCAGCAGTGTGCTGGCTTCATTAGAATAAACCCACAAACTCTATCCAGGTACGCACTCATATACACAGTATATCCACATAGATAGACCTAAAAGCAAGCAGACAAACACTCAAATTCTGTTTCACAATGTTGTCTTTTTTCATGCAATGGTCTGTTGGAACAAACTGCTAAAACGCCCTGTTTATTCATAGACATTTTGTGTTATTTAGCCATGCAAGTAGTTTAGATAAACTTGCACCCAAGTTCTGAGAATTTCTCAATGGGGTTCAGTTCGTAGTGTTCAAAGCAGTAAAAATTACAGTTGAATTACCATCCAAGAGTTTGTATCGTGTATATCATGTAAAACAGAGATGGGTTGAAGAAGTTATTTATGATTTATGAGGAGTGTGATGTGATGCAGAAATTATTCTAAAGAAAAAATGTTTTAGTTACTCTAGATAATCGTGTCAAATGTGTTGGGAAATACTGACAGTGTACTTGGATTATTTCAAATATCCATCCATTCAGTATTTCTGACATTTTTCCCTCCGAGATGATGGGGGCAGCAGTCTAAGCAGTCTAGCAACTCAGACCTCCCACTTCCCAACCACCGGTGCGTTTTCAAGCCAACTTAGAGATATAATGTTTCCAGGTTGCCGCAGGTCTGCGGCAGGATCTCCTCCCAGAGGGATGTGCCTGAAGCACTTGTACCGCTGTTATATTTGGATGGAAGCAAAATTCACAGGGCTCAGTAAAGCAAAATGCAGCATGTTTCCATGGCTTGATAGACTTTCTTTTCCTTTAATGTTTATATAAAACAATATATAGTCTTAGAGCAGGAATACTGGGGTGATTTAAAATGCATTTCTTTCTTGCCAAAACAGTGTCAGATCATCATCTAACCAGGCACCAGAAGTGCCCGAGAAACCTGCAGCTAAGAAAGGCAAGGGAAAAACTGGTGTCAACGTCTCAACCTCATTTAACCCCCTCGATCAGACCTGTATACACCCGGAGTCCTACCATGTAGCACAAAGGTACAGTGCACACAAACACACACGGACGCTTGAACAGCAGCCCACCCCACTGGCTAAAGCATGTTCAGGCTATGATGGAGTTGATTTTGACACCATCTCACATGGGGTTGGTTATAGTGGTGGAGGGCTCTGATTTGATTTACACAGACATGGGATACAAGAGAGGAGGCGTTGGCTGTGGTGTGTGTGTCCTTGTGTGAGAGATGATTGTTAGCGCTGCGGATGCTGATATCAGAAGCACATTGAGCATCTGTGTGTGTGTAACAGATGGACACACAAAACGGAGGGAGAGAGAGGGGGCCCTCTCTCATCCAGCTGTAGTCACTCAACTGTGTTTAGTCTACATAAGTTCTGACACTAGTGGTTTTAAGCATTGCTCTCCTCTTGTTGATGGTGTCTGTACATATATGTGGGGAGATGTATCTCTGTGCACACACGTGCAGATAGATTGATGTTGCGTGTATGAAACTTCCTACTTCAGTGTCTGTGTGTTCAATACAGACTGCACTAGAGAGTAGTTCATCAAAGAAGTATTGGGGATCAGAGGTCTTAAAATATAAGAGCACACATTACTCTTCTGTTAATACCCTCTGCACTCCTTTTTGAGCTGCACGCGTTTAGTTACATTTATTTGTTTTTCTCTTTTATTTTTATTTATTTATTTGGCAGACACGTTTCTCGTCCATACTTTCAGCTCTCTCACTGCCCCTCCCTGTCACTTTCTCAATGGTGCCTCACATTAAAACTTCTTTTAACCAGAATTACCAACCGTTTAAAGATATCTTTAGCATTTTTCCCATAGAATTTAACTCCACAATTGAAATTTCTCACTGGACATCTAATCGTTCTCTGCTTTTCTATTTCTCTTGCTGTTCAGAATTCTTAATCCTGTGTTGGCAAATGCATTATCCGGTGTTATGGCTGTATTATAATCCAAGTCTGGGAATGTACTCCATTCAGTATGGGTTCTGAAAGTATCCCAAAGTGTGTTGTGGTTTCCAGCACATCACCTGTCTCTGTAAAGATTTTCAGTACATGAAAAGCCATGTCAGTTCTTGCTCTTTTATTTTGACAAACCAGAAAATAAGTAACCTTCCACTAAACTTAAAATCACAGGGTATGACAGTGATCTGGAAATAGACCATACTACTTGACGAGTGTATCACTCATTGGGCTAGTTTGGATGTCTTTTTACGTAAACCTTTAGATTATAGCTGTAAAAGTCTTGGTGAGTTATATTCATAATCAAAGAGTTACTTGGAAAATCACTAATTTGTATACTGACTCAAAATCAGAACTCTAATAATCGCTACTAATCACTAATAATCTAATCAACTTGAATTGATTAGATTATTAGCTGTGAGAGCATCACTGAGATACCCCAAAGATTTTCTCTCCTCCTCACCTACAAATGGTGAAAACAAGGTTTAGAGGGAGAATTGTAAAGGAATGCTTGTGTGTGTTAGTGTATGTGTGTGTTTGTGTGTGTCTTTATGCTGTATAAGGAATATCATGTTCATCGCATTAGTGGAACTGGATCCTCCATTACTGCTCACAGCCTACACATCCACCCTTTTTTGTAACCATATACACACACGCGCACAAAACCAGAAACACAAGAGCACACACATGATTTTTCCACCTTTAAAAAAATAAAAAATAAATCAGTGAAGCCTAATTCTGTGAGTGCATTATGTGAAATATTTAATTGTAATTTGGTTTGAGACAGCGAGCTTCCACTGTGTGATGAATATTGTTCTCATAAGTAACAGTCAGGGCCTAATATTTCTATAACTGAAGACAGAGTGGGTCCTTGATTGTATGCCTGGACAAAATCTGTATTAGAGCCCACCCAACGCTACATTCACACACACATACCAAAATACATGCACAGTGTTGGTAGCAATTATATAAGTATGAACCCAACGGTGTTGGAGGCCTGTGGACTCCCGGTACCCCTTAAATACTAACATACACCACTGAAAAATAAAATGTGAAACACACACCTACAAGTAGGGCCCTCCACCCACTTAATCTATTCTAAGATATCTCTCCTGTGCTCTTCTATTTGCTTTTATTTAGGTTTTAAGATTTTAGTATTCCTGCTACTCAACCAGTGTGCTCATACATTTAGTTTGGATTTTGAACTTCTACCACAGTGTATATGAATTAAGGAGCAGGAAAAAAAACTTATATGAACGTATATTAACTGCATGACTTAAATGACTCTATAATATATATAAAGAGTTAAAATATCAGAAATTGTACTTAATGATATAATTAAACTTGGTTGCATTGTGCAAAGAAAAGCTTTACAAATGATCCTGCTTGCTTTCTGTAAGAAATTATATGTCAGCCGCCTTTTCCTGGCTTTAGTCCAACTGGGGGTCTAGATGATATGTGTCTAAGCAATCAAGACACAACTATTTCTTTTCCTGTTAAAAGATATGTGGTTGGAAAGTTAAGAAGATTAAAGAGGCACAGGAGAGAAGACCTTATTGTTATACAGATATCCAGTTTGGTCCGAAGGTGTTGTTTCCTTACCACTAAGTCATGTCTGGCACATACTTAGCTACTATTTTGTACCGATCAAGCTTACTGGTGTTGAGAGATCGAGTCCGCTTGTTTCCCTCTTTTGGGCGTTAGACAGGGACTTTGATGGCAGGGGCCTCTCGACGCACAGCTGTCACAAACATAGTTTGTACACAAGCTGTTTTATGTTACATCGGTACTGTCCCTCCTATTGCCAAATGAACATTTCTGAACAACACAGTGTATGAATCAGGTTGGTGTGTGTGTGTTCTGGTGTGTTTCCACCTGTTCTGTCCATCATGTCGTGGACAGCTGCTGAGTCTGTTTGGCGTCAGCCTGCCAGTGAGCGACATCTATCACGGATGTTACCCAGCTGGTCCACACATGAACACATGCATAGAAACAAATGCAGTCACATCTATCACCAAATATGCCAAGTGCCTGTTGTAAATAATATTTACAGTATGTATAATACACACACACACACACACACACACACACACACACACACACACACATCACTTTTTTTTCCATAAACCCTGCTCGCTACTTTGGCTCTAATGCCAATTTGTTACTGTTTCTGTTTAGAGTACAGAGAGCAACTAATTAGTTTGGATTTATATCTCCGGCTCAGTGAATTTGAAATGGTGCGACTTGACTGTCTAGACATTATGTGGTGGGACATCGTGCTGGAATCAAGTGATAAAAGTGTGGCTGACAGACACGAAGTCCAGCCTTAGCACAGTGGAGGCAGTTTCATTAAACAAGGTGTCAGAGCGTTTACAGCCCAATGAGGATTTACCTGATTTACCAGGGGTAAATTAAATATGTGTTTTTGCATCCAACACAGAAAACTCCACCTTGACAACTCACAACTTTTTGCGTATTACTCACACACCTCTGCCGCTCTCCCTATTTTTCCCCAGTGCCTGCTCACTTTCCCGTATAAGCTTAATATGTTTTTTTTCCCCTCCATTTTTCCAGCATCTTTTTTTTTCTCTGTTTTTACCTTTACTGTTTGTCATCTACTCTTAGACCCCAGTCATGCAAGCCTAGAGATGGGTCAGTGACCCCTCCTGGCAAATTTCTGTTGCTAATGGAAGGGTGTTTATTCCCTTGACTGGTTGGCAAGTGGTTGCTGGACTTCGCTGGTAGTCACAAGGTGAAACTGGTTGAAAAGAGTTACTTGGTGCAGAACCAAAAACCTCCTTGCAAGTTCTTTGGTGGTTGTTTGTAGTTTGCACAGTCAATGCCGTGTCTGCAAAAACTACTCCCCTACTGGTAGCGACACTTTGCAATTAGCAATACAAACTGGAGATGGAGCATCATGTGAGCGATTGTGGTGAAACGTTTTCCAAATTTTTTTTGTGCTAGTTTATGGAATACATTGCTAGAAATATAGATAAATTATCCCAACATTTTCCCTTTTCAGTATAACGGTAGAACACTAAACTCTAGTAAATAATAATGATATTTGAATTTCTAAATCCCTAAAAATGAGTATCTATTATTGGTAAGGCTCTATGAAGTCAAGTAGGTTTGTGGTTTTATTTCTAAGCTCAAATTTCTGCACGTCTCTCCTGTCCAGATTTCTGTCTCTTGTGGGTGGGAGTGTGGACCAAATTGGGAGTACAACCCTGAAACACTGTGTGGAGAACAAAGTTAAGACAAGCAGTGTAGAGGAGCTGGCCCGCACCCTGGACACCACACCCGAGACCCTCAAACTCATTATAGACGGCCTGACGCAGCCCCCCGGGTTTGACATACGACAAAGTAAGACTCCGGCCACTCACTGATATACTGATATCAATTCAATCAGAAGAACAATACAAAGGACAATGTTGAAAATGCTGAAGGAAAAACATGTTAATGCATGTAAACATTTTTAAAAAAAAATTGGTTTTAATAGGAAAATGAGATGTTGACATTAATATGTTTACATAAATGTTACTTTGACTTTGTTATTTAAAAGGTATTTAAATAGAAGAAAGCCAATGAAACATATGTATACCCTTGATCATGCATGTTTTTTATTTCCTTATATCTCAAAACTATCAGTATTTTGAATCGTATAAAAATGTTGTAGACTGCACGTATCTGCAGCCTATCAGTCACAGTAACTTCCCTTGGCCTCTCATCTTTCCTTCATGATGTCCTTTATAGGTCCCCACTGACTGATAGAAAATCAAACTTGTATTCATCCAGCTCTTTGAGAATCTTGCTAGTTATGACACACACTGACTTTTCTTGCCTTTACTATAATAGGCATGTCTTGGCAGTGTAACTTGATAGGATCTGACAGTGCTGTGGCTTCCTCCCTGTAGCCCCACAATACAAGCAGTGTGTTTCTGACAGGGTGTGATGGGTCCAACAGACTGTGTTGTTGGGCAGCGTCTCTTTGCAGAGACACACATACAAAATGCACAAAGAACTCTGTTTTTCTCCTTAATCTGAAACACTTCAGTTCAGGCACATACAAACATACCACTAAAACCCCATCCATAGTTACAAACTGTTGCTGTAGCTCAAATTTGTTTTCTCAAGGAAAAAAATAGGACACATCTCTTGCTCTTCTGTTTTTGATTAAGCAGCCTATTTATTGATAATGAGGAAATATAAGTCAGCATCAACTCTCAAATCCTGATTAAAAATGGCACAGAGCACTTTAATATTTGTGCAACATATTTTTCTTTGACGGTCTTCCCCAAAACAGGGAAAAAAAGATGTAAGTACAAAAGAGTAATTATTTTCAGACTGGCTAGTTAAATACTATTTTATGTGAAGAGGAAAGAAGTCAAGTCTACCCACTTATTGCTGGCTAACTTGTCTTAAAATTGAGGAACGCGGCTTCAAAGTT